AGCTGCAGAATCAAAGTGCGTTTTTCAGCCATTATAAAGTTGCTCAACAATCTCTCCAATGCTATCTGAAGACCGTCAATTACACCGTTATAATGGTAGATCTCGATAAAGATCCTCGTGTAAAAGAGAAGTGCTCTAAAAATCAACAGGTAAGCCTTGCAATCTAATCTCATTTACATTTCGTACATTTAATCTAATGAGCAATTGAAACGTATACAATCCTCACTGATCTTATTCTAAATTCGATAATTTTTGATCTTTTTGAAACAGAGCTACAAAAAGCACTTTTTGTGTAATCTTTGAGCATTTCCTTTTCGTCAAGGCTCGAATTTTTTTCACTCTTTGCAAACTTGCAGCTTTTCTTCAAAAAGCACTGTGCCGCTTCGGAGTACTTGGCTGACACTGACTGGATGCTTGTGTTAGATGCTGATACGGGTACGTCAAATTTCCCCTTTTGGTTCCAGCCTTCCATTTTATGTAGCATTTCGGTCCTCAGATTCATATGAGACAAACAACGAATTTTGCTGCCTCATTTCCCAGATCATCTGACCCAAAATAGGGTACGGATGGAAACTATGACCACTTTCAGGCGTCGTTAATCCCAATCACTGCATTGAGGAATGGATTGACGATAGAGTTGATTTGCTGTTTTACGAGCGTTTCTTCAATTGGGAGATTGCAAGCGGAAACTACTTGGTATAGTCAGACTGAGTTTCTAAACCAAACACTTGAATCGGTTATTATAGGTAAGAAATACAGAATTTGGTAGAAAGTTTCTCAAAGCCTGGGGAGATTGGGAATTTACGCAACCGTCGAACTGGAATGGCGCAGATAATGGTGTCTTGCAGGTATATCAACATATTTTGTAATTTCGCTATCAATTTAGTATAGCTAAGGTCAGAAGAAATGACAAATCAAATTTGTAATTTTAGTGCTTGAATGCATTGAATTTTTCTAAAAAGTCTAACATTTGCGATGCCATCACATGCGACAGATTCACATATACACTTTCTGTAAAATCTTCAAGAAGAAATATCCCAGAGACCAAGATGTACATATTCGCTTCCTTATCGAGAATGAAGCAAAAGAACTTCAGCCAAAATTTTTACGTGACCTCTTTCCATTTTTCCATAATAAATTTTACCTTAGTGGGGCCAGGGTACGAACTCGATAATTCATAGCATATTTTACTGACTGGCTTCCATATATTTCCATAAACCATATACCTCACAAAGTATCAAGCCAAAATTGAGATATTCAATTAGCTCATTATGCTGGGTAAGAAACTCAGAATTTGGAAGAAAGTTCTCAAAGCCTGGGGAGATCGGGAGTTTACGCAACCACTGAACTGGAATGACGCAGCGGTGTCTCCACTTGCTGTATGTTCTTGCAGAAAAAAAGGAAAAGATAAGCTTTATCTAAATACAGTATTTGTTTCCACAAACTTGATTATGCAGACCATGAACTTGGAATCTCAACTATAACTATAACTAACTCAACCATTGTGCAGTTCTAGTGACTGGTTCCTTTGTTCGGTTTACTAATTAAAACGCTATGAAGAAAAATAATCCTTCCATGCTGACTTCATAGCTTTAGATTCAAATTTTGACGACAGTCATGCCTGATGCAAAACAGGAAGCCGAGAATTGCGATAAAATTTGGCACAATGCCACAAATTACGATACCTATCTGGCGTATGTGTCATGCGTGAAGCAGGCACTCGGTGCAGCGAGGATGTGGCCGGGAAAGCTTAGGATCTACAGGAGAGCACATGGATGGGTGCGAGATGGATTCATCACGACTGATAAGTGAGTTTAAGGTGTTATATTACGGTAAGAGGTAACAAGATGACCAAAATTTTTAGGTGGTGCGATGCTGATTTCATGCTACATGGATGGAAGGCTCAGACCGTGGGCAAAGACGGATGGGAAAGCCCATTTAATCAAAATCTCGATCCTACGAAATGCGGAGTGGGAACAAATGGCTGGGATTGGATACCCAAAAAGCATGTCAATGCTTCTGTAATCAGGTAAGCGGTGCTATGGAACAGAGAGTAAAGCCAAAAGACATGTGTTTTCAGAACCGAATTAGCTAATTTCGAGCGGTATTCTGGAAATACATATCCAAAACCAGCCAGATCGCTTATGTACTTAGCAATGCCGGATGTTGGAGAATGTTATCCGGACTGTGATAAGGACACATAAGCTCAGCATCGATCAAAGCGGGTACCCTGGAGCTTAGTTTCACTCATGGAAATTTTTTTGACACGTGGTGGAGCAATATAAGCTTGATTTATCCTCTATGACAAGGTATAAGTGCGCTTCATCCTTTCTACCACTACGGGTATTCTGTAGCATCAAGTACGCATTTTATAATCATCGAGATTGTAAGATCATTCTTCTGTGCTTGTCCATATGTTCGTCGGAGTAGTACTGCCTCTTATAATCCGGCGGAAATTCCCATTTCAAAAGGTTTGTTCATCAATTGTAAAGTTCAACATTCCAGTAATTCTAGTCACTTTCGAGTTGAGATCATTTTGAGCCTGTAAAAAGAGCCCATGATATAAGC